ATAAAATGTATTCATTATTCTTCATCATTTCTTCTTCAGATTGACACTCGTTGACATTGAATCCCGTTTGGAACAAAATGTGCATATGTGCATATAAATCCCATCAGCTTTAGGTCCCATTAAGAGAATGTTCTGTTAATATACCCCTTTCTTTTTATCTTTGCCTTTCAGGTCGGCCATTCTTGCCAATCTCTGCCCTGGTGAATTTCTCCACAATTTTAGAGATTTTTTCGCCACCCATTGTTTTGTAGCCATTCTTGTGTCTGCTTTTGCAACACAGCAGAAGGGTTCTGGGCCTATGAGAGGCATTGATGAACCTGTTTGGACCCAAGAAAAACTATTACCAAAAAACTTCTTCTGTTTATTTGAGATCTACTAGATCTGTTATTTTTAAGGTTGCCTCTGTAGGAGTTCTTGGGAGATGGACTGCCAACTGTCTTTCAATCTTTTTAGAGGTCTTTCCGGCTGTCTCGTACCCATGGGTTTTCCTTCAAGAGCTATGCGTGGTAGGTAGCCTGTTTTTCTCCATGCGTTTTACGTGCGCGAACCATTGTCTTTTTCTTTGTCTACCCCATCTCACTACGTCCTGTATTCCACATTGTTGTCTGATATTTTTGTTTCTAATTCTGTCCCTTCTAGTCTTCCCCATTATGATTCTTAAGTTCTTCATTTCAGCTACTCTTAACATGCTTTTGGTCTTGTTTATTTCCTCTCGGATTTCGATGCCATAAGTCATTATTGGTCTGATGCTATATTTTGCTGTCTGTCCGCATGGGGATGGGGTTTGTCCACACTATTTGCCTCAGACATCCTGACATGGCCGTTGCTCTGTTTATCTGGCTTCTCAGATTTTTCCCATACAGCACATCAAATCACATTTACGATGTGTTTACATTATTAAATGTAGACACAGGGTGACACAATTCCCTCGATGTAAATATGCTACGTTTACACATTGTAGTTCAACACGTATGCACAAAGGTTAAACGTCCGACTCACAATGTAGACACAGTATAGCATTTACGTATACACAAAGTAAGGGATACACAGTGTGCCGTAGGATACACAGTGCTTGTGTATTACGTTTAAACTATGTTTACACGTTGCAGTTGTGACTACCGCGTGTATACGTATATATTTTGCTTCGTATATACATCTTGTGCTAGATAAAACTACTTCTTATGAACGAATTTAGGAAAGTTCTGATGCCTAACTTTTCGTTCTTTTTAAGAAATATTTATTCAATGATACCAATTATATCTTTTTAGAACGAAAATTAGGAATGCAAAACTTTGTATTTTCCAAAAGTATCTCGATCGTAAGTTCAAGAGAAGTAGCCTTAAAATTGTTTCATTTTTATTTTGTATTAAATGTACCATTTTTCTTCCATAAAATGGATTAAGTGGTTAAAAAATCAAATTCTTATATTTCGTTATATCATGGAACGCAATAGCGCAAATAACACAATAATAATAATTATTTACACTGCAGAAACCAGAAGTAAGAAAACACTGTAAAAGAACAGAATTTGTATCAAAATGTATTAAAAATATAAGTACCTAGTATAACAATATACTAAAATAGAAACACTGGTATATCTTACGATTTGGTGGACCTCGTTTAGTCATTTTTTTCTCATCTTTTCCCTCCAAGCAGTTGGTTTATTAGCATACTAATTCATCGAGCACTCTGTTGGACTTTGTTGTATTTTATTTCCAGATTAACAATCTCACCCTTAAATTTTATATGACACTGATTATTGAATATTAAACATATCTGTATATTGATCCATCAATAACTTACCGAATATCAGTGTAAGGAGTTCTTTGAAGTGTTTAAATCTTTCTTTCTCTGGTCCATTTAGATTTTTATTATTTCCAAATTAAAAAAAAATTATATTGCAGAGCTAACTCAGCTAACCTCTTTATCATTATACGAGAATATTTGGAGTTTTCATTCATAGGAGTCAAAATTTGGTAAATTGGGTATCGAGTAAGGGAAGAGTCGCTGCTATAATATTAATAATACTCTTAGGAAGGTGTAACAAGGTAATTAAAAACTTGTACTTACCTTAACTTACCTTCTTTTAAACTACACACAAACAGAACATTTATATAGAGCTTCCGTATGACAAAACAATAATGGCTGCTAACACATACCACTCCTAGAAAGGAGAAAGGAAAGAGGATACATAAGATACATTTGGTCGGTGAATCTACGCTGAGGCTATCCGCGCATGCTCACACCTTCATTTCATGCTAGAATGTAGACACAACAGTACACTATTACAAAGTGTCTATATAGATATTTATATTATGTGTATACGTCACATTTTTACAAGGTGTGTACTATAGGCACAACTATGACACGAAGTATCACACATACATATCACTTATACATTGTATGTCTCATATACCGACGTCAGATTTCATCATTTTAATAATTATTTGTTACGTTACAAAATACTCTTTAGAATATTGAGTAGTATACAACTAGTAAACACTGTATCACACAGTTCTATCAATATAAACCTGCGTGTATCTCATATGTATATGTTAGAACTAGATAAACACTTAGGTTCACTTTAACATATGTTGTTTCTCATGTATCTCCCTTGTAGAAACGCAATTTCATTTGGACGTGCTATATGGGTTCTCTGGATCATGGTAGTAGGTACTATTACTATTAGGTTATTACTATTCCTAGGTATCTGAACTGTGACACTTGCTCAGTAATTTTGTTTTCTACTGCCAGTTTGCATCTTACCGGCCCTTTAGATGAAGTTAAGCATTTAATTTTTTCTGTAGAGATAGTAAGCTGAGAATTAAATATTACTATCTCTACAGAAGAATTACTATAATTGATAATAATTTACTGTGAGAATCTTTATGGTTTTCTTATGGTTTTTTTGGGAAATTGTAATAAAAACTAGTGTGACTAAAAACAAAAATATCAAATATTATTTAAAATTAAATTGTTGTTGCTTATATGCCTAATACTAAAGACCAATATATTTTAATTTGCTGCTCAGACAAATAAGAACAATGAACAAAAGCGAATTACCATTTTCTATCTCTGGACTTGCTTCCGTTTAAGAAATAAACCAAAGTAAATCATACAAACAGCGAACGGTATTGTGACACCGGCGGGTGAACCCACTCGCGCTCGTAATTTATACCGCGTGTTATCTATTCACGGTTCAATGTGTGGTCGTAATAACGTACCGCCAGAGTACCACCACAATCCGCGCGAATAACTTATCGAGAACATGCCGGAGTAATAATCATAACAATTTATTTACTATTGTAGTGGTTTAAATTATGGACGTATTAAAGTTTCAAGAGGATAGTATTATTTGGTTAATTTTATTAGTCATGAATATGTCACATATTCTTTAATATTTTAGAGACTGGTTGTTAGTTGGGAACTGTTAATTATGTCATAACTTAAAGACACATTTTTTATAGGTGTACTACATATATACTGCCATTACTCAGAAGATGATTTTTTGATGACCCGATATTTTTTAGATTCTAGGACATAAAATAAGGCATTTATTATAAGGGTTTAATATGTCTAAAAGCTTTGGTTTTTGAGATATTTAAAGATATTTAAATATGCATGCTGTAGTAAAAAAAAATTGGCAACACCCCGTACATTACTTTTCAGAATTAATTATTCTTGTGACTTTTAAGGCAGGGAAATAAACTTTACTAAAATATTTGATTGCTTCTTTAAATGTATACAAGGGTATCAAAAACTGCAGATCTATTTTATATATTTATTTTACATAGAAACTTCCTCGGAAACTTCGTTATTTCAAATGCAACACTCTGTATTTTTTAAAATAAGTCGAAGCAGATTTAAATGCTCTTTCAAAAGCAATTTTTCAATAAAATGGCATTCAAGACGGCTGGGGTAGCCATGGCAATTTTATAGTGACAGTTAAGTATTTTCAAAATTGACATTGGTTAATGGACTTTTTATTTTTTATATCAATATTCAATATAATTATTGACTTATTGGTAAACGGGGGAATCCAAATGTTAAATAGAGAACCAGTGATGCTATAATTTACTGCAGCAAACCAATGGCCAATGGCAGCAAATTAAATCTGGCGCCAAGTTGCTTTTGGACTTGACGATGGAATGGGTGAATGAATGACAATGGAATGAATTAAAATGACGATAGATAACATTTACTATATACTTTTATATATTTTTATATATAAAATAACAACCGATCGTCATTTCCAATACCAACTCTAACGCCCATTTTTTTAGTCGTATAGTACCTATGTTAAAAGATTAAAACATATTAGTATTCACGGCGAAATATTATTTGTAAATTTATTTGTCAATTTTGTAGAGTTGAGCCAAAATTGGTCCCTGTCTCTACCGTGCCGCTATTTTGCTTTCATCATTATAACTAGTTGAAATCACAGTACAGCATCTGAGAAAATGTAATAATTAATAATATATTACAAGATATAATTCTTAGCCTTGTGAAGGATTTAGCGCATCGTGTGTCTTCTACACTAACTAGTAAGTTAAAGACCAGACTTAAAACGAATCTAAATACTATATACGGGAACAATGCCCGAGCAAAGTCATGGCAAGGAATATATTAGCTTAACTTATTCAAGCATGGAACCGAAGAACTGTTTTAGAAGTTTCATCTTAACAGAAACTCTAAGCTGCAATGTCGCCAGAGGAAAATGTTACATAAGTTTGGGCAAGATTAATATTCTAAAAATAGATAATTTTCTAATCCATTTTGTTGTATTTTATTAAAAAGAATAATCATTTTTCAAACCTGTATTCTAAATTAATTCCGGAACACGTTTTTAGTTTTAACAAAAATTACCAATGGCAATAGTTATAGCTGCAGCCTTACAATTTTGCTTCGTGCAGAGACAATTTCTTCAAATATATAAATAGTTTTAATATAAACTAAAAAAACTCATTTGTTCTGGTACTTATACTTTTTATTGTTTTCAGGTGGTGTTTGTGATATTTTTGGCGTACGCCATGATGCCGTTGAAGTCATGGATTGCTGGAGTTTTCGGATTTCTGTTATGTTCTGCTCATGTCGCCGTTTCGTCTGTGTTTGCGACTGATTTTCCTCATTTAAAATGGCAACAGGTAAGTCATGAGAACATACAATTGCTATTAATAAAAAATACTGAAACTTCAACATTAAACTTCATCTAAGACTTTAGCAGTATGATATAAATATTTATTCTCATATTGAGTGACTGACACAAACAAATGATTAAATAAACACGAACAAACAATAAAGAACTGTATTTATCACTTTCAAATAATATCAATACAAGTAAAATAGGAAGAAGAAACTTAGTGGTGAAATGTAAATAAACGAACGAATTTGGAAGTAGTATTATATCAAATATTTTTTAACGAATTGCTGTGACTCGGTGAATGCAATACGTGTTACACGTATGTGAGGTCAATCAATATTATTATGAGTCCTTCAATATTATCCACAAAAGTGGAATTTGTCTTGAATTAAATAAGGAATTTAAAAATAGTAAAAGATATAGGGGTTATCATTTAAAATTTCAAGGGTAGATGCCCTAGAAGTCAGGGGTCTGCTTATAAATTGACCTTTTTCGCCAAATTTTGATATTTATTGGTTATATAAATGCTGCTCCTTTTTAGATCGACTCCCTGTATAAATATAATTCTGTTACTAACACCTTAAATGAAAAACTCAATTTATTAATACATTTTACTTACATTTTGTGCCGTTGTAATACGTAGAGAAGCATGGAACAGAATTGTTCAATGTTTTGATTCCTAAATGTTCGGAATTTCCGATTACAATAGTGCATACCTTCTCGGAGACAAGCATTTAAAATATTTTAGAATGCCAGCCATCGTACACATGTCGGTGTTTGTTTACTCTTTACATCATAGAGCAATTTGTATATTTCAGTATTGTGCAGACATTACAGATTCCGGGCATATTACATTTTTTAGTACCTACGAGTATACAGAGTGAGTCTTAGATAAGTGCAAATATTTTTAGGAGTAGTATATTTCGAGCACAGAAACACGTCTATGAGGTTTTTTTCGCGAATAAAAAAAATTAAAATTTTGATTTTTTTGACAAAAAATTTTGGAAATGTTTTTAACTTTTAGTATATTAAAAGTTTCGAGTACCCAACAAATTTCTTACAGTATGTAAAAGCCTCCATAACAACAAGTCAAGAGTATCACCATCATGGATCACTGAGCGATCCCTTCCTAACAAATACAGGAGTTAGGTAGGGATAGAATAAGCGCCTCTCCTATTCAACATATTTATGGCAGCGCTGTCCATTATAATGGACAGCAAACTGCAGGAAAGAGGATTGGGCATTAAATACAGATATGACGGCGCTGCGGTCCGTCCAGCATAAAAAGATTCAGGGCAAAAACACGTACAAAATTCATCACAGAACTTCATTACGCTGATGACTGCGCTCTAGTTGCAAAAACGTTACTGCAATTACAAGAAATGTTGAACACGTATACCTGGGCATACGAGGCTTTGGGCCTTAAACTTAAAATCGATAAAACTAAAATTATGTGCACTCTACCGGAAGATCACAACAATGCTATAAAAATCGGAGAAGAACTATTTAAATATGTTGCGGAATTCCATTACCTCGGTAGTTTGATTTCGGAAAAGGCCAGCATCAACTAGTGATGAAACGGATAGTTGTTTGGCCGGATACCGAATACCGGATATTCGGTGAGCCGAGAGGCCGGATGGCCTAATATCCGGCAGCCGGATATCCGGTTATCGCGATTGTTTCAGTGAAATCGAAGCTGAAAATAATAGTCAATGTCGCGATCAAGAGAACAACCCAATTGCAAGCGTGATCGACTACTACTTGAAAACAGTTCGAATTGATCACAACCCTTACAGTTGGTGGTTTGATAACGCAAACCACTAACCCAAATTTGCGAAAATATACTTTTCAGCTTCTTGCAACAATGTTTTTAGTAAGTTGTTGTTTTCCGAAGCTGGTTTGGTTTACGAAAACAAGCGAAATCGCCTATTACCGACAAACGCTGAAAATTTAATTTTTATTCACCACATTTTGCCACTTATTAATTTTGGCTATTAATTTTCTAAAATTCCCTTTGATAAAAGGAAAAGAACAAGACAGTAAATTTTAAGAATCTTTATATCTTTTCAATTTATTATTAATTAACTCAATGTCACTAAATGAAGTTTTCATTTTTGTATTTTTCATTGAAGTGAATAATGAATATTTTTAGTTTTTTTGAAGTTTTTGTTATTTTGAGTTTTAAATAGAAGCAGTTTAAACTGTAAGTACACTATTTGTTGTTATTTATGTTACTTTTTGAATATCCGGTATCCGGCCGGATATTGAGTTACTTTTCGGTATCCGGCCGGATAATAAATTTAGGCCGGATACCGGATAGTTACCGGATATCCGTTTCATCTCTAGTATCAACTCTGAAATTCAACAGAGGATTAGCAGCGCCTCAAGAGCATTCTGGAAGTGAAAATACAAGGTTTTCTACAATCACGACTTGAGCACAAAAACGAAATTTGCAGTGTACCGAACGCATTAAACAAGTTGCAAATGAGACTACCCTATACAACTCTTAAGATTCAAATGGTTCCACCATGGCTCGTACGTTTTGGTCCTTGAAAAAGCTAGCTGCCAGAGCGTTGAAGTCATGATTACAAAATCCCGCTTAAGATAGGCTGGTCATGAATGCAAAATGCAAGAAAACCGCCTATCAAAATCTCTGCTTTACACGGTGAGCTTGTAGACGGTAAGAGGAAACCGGGTGGACAACTCAAAAGGTATATACAAGGATATTTTCCACGAAAACTTAAAGGGGATAAACATGGAGAATGAGTGGGAAGAAGTAATAACGCACAATAGAACACAGTTGAGAAGAATTATAAACTCAGTTAACAGCGACAACCAAAAAGTAAAGAGGCAACAAAGCAATGATATTTTTGAATGTCCGGAGTGCGGAAGAGAGATAACATCACGTATCGGGCTTTTCAGTCACAGAAAAGCTTATGAAAGAAAACGCCTTGCGTAACCATCTTCTGGTGCGTGTCAAATACTCGTCAGCGAGTAATGGCAGATATGTATGTATCAATTTAATGACTGATGGTTGATGATGGTAAGAAGTTTTAATTCAAATATGCGCACATAGTACAAAGTACAGGGTGAGTTTCCTACGATGTTCTCTATGGGCATCTCGGAAACTACTGGAGATAGTAGCACCCTGTAGCACCCTGTAGAGAGTCGGTTAAATGGGGAAAGAATTGCAGTTTTATGGGGTCATAAATATGCGCCTTTCAGATTTTTGAAAAAGTTCATGGCTTACTAGATATTTCGAAAAATACAAATTTCGGCTATTTTAAAAATTGTCCCTAATTCCATTATAAGCTATTTTAGACAAAAAGTTTTCAGATAAAAGTTGTAGATAATCACATCCTTAATGAGATTGTATCCTCCGCTTTTTTCTAAAGCCTGTCATTTTTGACATATGATACAAACATATGTTTTTTTTAAATGGAAACCATAGTTGGCCATGACTTCATAAAAAGCGCCATTTTTTAAGCTTTTTAGCGATATAAACTATAATATGTTTTCTTCGAAAAATTACGAGTTATAGCCAATTCTTATAATTTTTAAACAATTTCACTTAGTTAGCCATGGAAACAAGTTCAATCGCTGTTGCTCTCAGAAATGTGAAGCTGTCACATCCAAACTTTGTAAATTAAAATAAACAAAAATTGTAAATACGAATTTTTGAAATGAAGAAAAGCGTGTAGATACGTGCATCAATAGAGTGTTTCCAACATGACTTTCATTATGACCCCCCCCCTCATAATGAAAGAAATGTTAAAAATTATTTATTTCATAATTATGCAAACTCAGGGATAGGAAGAGGTGGACTAATTGCATGGGCCTGCTCGATCACCTCACCTATCCATTTTAGATTTTTTTTATGTGGTATTAACAATAAGCTTTACAAAAGAACTTATGTATTAAGAGAGGCACTCGAAGTGGCGATACGAGAGAAGTTTGATTAAGTCGACCGGTCCTTCCGTGAGAATAAGTAGTAATTCAGTTTTCAAAAGATGCAACTCTCAAAACAATGGCGGATTTTTTGTACATTTCCTAAAATAACTTAAAGTGTATGCAGTGATATTATTTTTTTAAGTTTTAGTTAGTGTAATGTAAATTCTAAAGAACCGTTCAGTAATATATTCCGATTTTTTATAAGTTATAAATCATAACAGAATAAGAATCCATACCATGTAATCTAAGTGAAATTAGTCAAAAAGGGTAAGAACTGGCTATAACTAAATTTAACTTTTCTAACAAGTCTTGAAAACTGTTCTCTAAAAAACGTAACATTCACCGGTCAACGTATCCTCGAAAATGTATGGTGAAGAAAAGTTGAACCAATAATCTTACACGCTTTTCTTCATTTGAAAAAATCATATTTACAATTTTTGTTTCTTTTAATTTATAAAGTTTGGATGTGACAGCTTCACATTTATGAGAGCAAAGACGATTAACTCTTTCCATGGCTAACTAGGTGAAATTATTTAAAAATGATAAGAATTGGCTATAACTCGATAATTTTTCGAAGAAAACATATTATAGCTTATATCGCCGAAAAGCTTAAAAAATGGCGCTTTTTATGAAGCCATAGCCAACTATGCTTTCCATTTAAAAAAACATATGTTTGTGTCATATGTCAAAAATGACAGGCTTTAGAAAAAAACGGAGGACACAATCTCATTAAGGATGTGATTATCTACAACTTTTATCTGAAAACTTTTTGTCTAAAATAGCTTATAATGGAATTAGGGACAATTTTTAAAATAGCCGAAATTTGTTTTTTTCGAAATATCTAGTAAGCCATGAACTTTTTGAAAACTCTGAAAAGCGCATATTTATGACCCCACAAAACTGCAATTCTTTCCCCATTTAACCGACTCTCTATCTCCAGTAGTTTCCGAGATACCCATAGAGAACATCGTAGGAAACTTACCCTGTATATGCTTGTTAATATTTAAAATAAATTAGGTCTTGTCGACAAATTTAAACAAGTTGGAAATTTTC